CTCTTAGGTTGGAGGCCATCGCTCTTAGGTTGGAGGCCATCGCTCTTGGGTTGGAGGCCATTGCTCTTCAGTTGGAGGCCATTGCTCTTAGGTTGGAGACCATTGCTCTTAGGTTGGAGGCCATCGCTCTTTGGTTGGAGGCCATCGCTCTTGGGTTGGAGGCCATTGCTCTTAGGTTGAAGGCCATTGCTCTTAGGTTGGAGGCAACGCTAGTAGGTTGGAGGCCATCGCTAGTAGGTTGGAGGCCAACGCTAGTAGGTTCTAGGCCATCGCTAGTAGGTTGGAGGCGCTTGCTATTGGAGAAACAAAGAAGAGCGAAAAGGAAGAACGGTGTAATATAGTTTGCCATTGGGTCACTGCAGTTGCGCTCTGGTCCTATGGATCGCGCCAAGGTCGGTGCATCATGGTATCACTTCATGTTGTCCATCGAAGTCTGGTCTAGAAGCTGCGCTTTAGCCTTTTCATCCCGTTTTCAATCCGCATGGCCGAGCTGCGCTGTAGAGCTGATGGTAGCTGTTGTTCAACAGCGCAGCCTTGTCCTCGACCTGCATTTTTCCAACTCGCCCTGCTCGCTTCTTCGTTCTTTTCATCAAGATTTGTTGTCAAAGCTGCTTGGGACACCCGCTGACTGCCGGACTCTGCAACCCAACATGTGTCTCAATCAATTCAGCTGCGATTCGAAGTCTCAACTCTGGCCTTGGGGCTCTGGATCATGTCTTGCAGGCCTTGGACGCACGACCCCACCCCAAGGGTACATACACAAACATAGAAATGTCACCACCGTACATCAATGTGTGCGTTTTTTCTCTTTGTGTGTATGGTTTAAACTCGTTAGTTTTGAACATTTCATACCGATCCAGCTGGATCCGATCGACTCATCCGAGCCAGCCGGATGATGACGTGTCGAGGCACTGTGGACGTGTCATGCTGTTTGTCAGGTGTTCACAGCTGACCTGCCGGTCAAGAGCGAGTCATATGAATTTGAGTCACTAGCCTGAGTTTGAAGTTTTGCTAAGCTAGTCATCTGCCGGGAGTTTGGTTACTGGATCACAAAAGCAACAGTCACACAACTTGTTGGTGTACTTTCTTGAGAAACCATGCTTGCTTCCTTTCCTATGACGATATGGCAATATGGGGAATTGGTGAGCTGCAAGAGTCCCCTCCCCATGGTTGAAGCAACAAATAATGCAAAGAGAACCCAATAGCGATGGCCTCCAACCTACTAGCGTTGGCCTCCAACCTACTAGCGATGGCCTCCAGCCTCCGACCTGATAGTTGTCTTGGGCCCAAACATGTTCTCTACTTGGCCTGGTGGCCTAGGCCTCTCTTGTTGTCATCGGAAAGACTCTGCCTCTGAAGCACTCAGTCAGTGTGTAGCCGCACGCACGAAGAGCCAACTTCCAAAAAAGCCCAACAGTTCCCTTGAACAGTCCAGCCGGTCCAGTGGCCCAGGAACACTCTCCTTCCGTTTACCTAGGAGCGATCGGACGCTACTAGGGGCTCCTGGCCTTACTACTAGGAACAAGGATGCTACTAGTTAGTAGCAAAGGGCCTTACTACTAGGAACAAGAAGCTACTAGTAACAAGTGCATCGCTACTAGGAGCAAGGATGCTAGGAGCTTCCGTTTACCTCCCAAAATCCGAGCGGCTCAAGGTCTTCCTCTGCACCTCCGTCGGGGTGGCGACCATCGGCGGAGCCGATCCATAGGCCTCGGTTGGGCGGGCACCTCCGTCGGTTGGGACATCGATGTCCGTTCAGGTTGCGGCGTCCGGAGATGGGCGTCCGTACTTTCACGTTTTCTTGGATGTGGGGCAAGTAAAGAACAAGCGACAAGCAACAGAGCTGCTTTGTGCTTGGTTGCCCTGAGCGATGTGAAACGATGGACAACACAAACCAATCATCAACTAGCAAAAAGTCTACAACAAACCTTGCAGTTCAATCACATGAATCTGAAAGCCCACTATTTGCCCGTAGCAACAATAAAAAATACCCTTCTCGCCGGTCATGGGCCCTGGTCCACTCAGCTGCATATTTTCCACCTGAAAACACATTAGAAGAAGCATAGTAGCGTCCTTGCTCCTAATATAAGCCTTGACACTCCATTTAGTCTTTATAGCTGGATCACTGCCCATTCATTTTCCACTCCATTCCACTCACTCACTCCCTCGCTCGCTCTCCATCTATCGGCTGGAGAGAATTCCCTCAGCAGTCGTGTCATAGGTGGGAAAACTGCTACTAATAGCGTCCTTGCTACCAGTCGTGATGCCAGGAGCTACTAGTAGCGTCCTTGCTCCTAGTAGCGATGACCTTTGTTCCTAGCAGCTTCTTGTTACTGAATTCATACCGAATTGATGCAACTCCCAGCCAGCAAAGCTGAAACTGCCACCCATGACAATCCTCAGCGCTGCACGCGATAGCCAGATGGTGTCCCAGTCGGAGTTTGCAAGACACCTGGCGAAATGATGAGTTCCTAGTGGTGGAGGCCATCGCTACTAGTGGTCCTGTTCGACCACTGTTTTATTGTCTTCTTCCTCGTAGCCCGACAAAGCTGTGCCAGACAGGGACGAGAACGAGAACCACCCTCAAAAAGAGGTGGTCCGACCAACAGTCTTTTGGGCACGAAACGTGCCCAAAAGAAACTTTCAAGCGATTGGCAATGCAAAGTCAGACTCCTTGATCACTGGTGTCCAGCACCAAAGACAAGTCTGCATAAAGATGTTCCATCTGAGACTGCTCGCCAGCTTCAGCCACATGCCAGCAAGGCCCCAGGTGTAGGCCGGTGTGGCTGGCATCTCTGACATGCCTGCCGTTGCGATCCACCAAGACCACACCGGCTCGGTGAGAAACGGAACAAACGCCGTTGCCATCACTCCAGGCCTTTCGTAAACTGAGTGCGTTCTGTTTCCCCTTTGTTGGCTGTCCGCAATTCTTCGGCCATGCCACTCCACATGCTCAAGTTCATGACCCACCATCATTGGAGCTGCTTTGAGTATGGATCAGACTGTCTTAACTTGTCAGCACAGTGCTGGACCCCGGACGCAGAAGAAAGCGCATTGACCAGTCTTTATTTTTTTTTCGGCAAAAATATGCCATATATTGTTCACCGAGAAGAATCCATCAAAAGCGACAGCGCAACAAGAAACCGGAGGGTCTGAAGACCCTCAGTCCATCCCGGACCCGGTCTGCCTGAGACGAACATCATGGGATCACGTTTGACGGTACCATTTGCCTGGACCGGTGAGGAGCTCGATTGGACGGCTGAGCGAAACATGTGAACTTGCGAAAATGGAATTCATTGTCTTGAATGTACATCCTGAAGAAAGTTCTCTATACATATATGGATGATACAACTATCATACGTACAAGCTTCTACTGCCCGACAACCACTTGTGACTAGTGACAGTTGGCATGAGTGACTCTGGTCACCTTTCTCTGTTGTCAACTGTCTATGGCGAGTTCATCATCTATGAAGGGATGAGGTGTCTTGGTTTGTGAACCACAAGCAGTGCCATAAACATGCCCAAGAAATGCCAAGCCGCCCTTTTCTTCGCGGTATGACACTCCTTCTTTCTTGGATTCTTCATTTGTTTTTTTGGATGTAGGGGGTCCGAGTCCCTGTTGCTTTAATTGAAAATGATACTTCTTTGATCAAAAAAAAGGCAGTTTTTGAGAGGCTTCCAAGGCCAATTGGACCTTCCCATGTCCACCGAAGTATCTGGCTTTACATTTTTCTTGGCATGATGGACCATCATGATTTCAATCGATTTCATTCTGGCCCAGGTTCTGGTGTAACAGTTCCTTGTTCAAGCCACTTGATCCCTGTCTACATCATCTAGACAAAGAAGCCACCCCACATTTGAGTTTGTGAAGACCCCACCTGAGGTAAAAATAGCACACATTCTGATAGGCTTCCAAGATCCTAAATCATCTTGGAAATCTCGAAAACCGGAACAAGTGAGTGAGGGACGTTTGCTTCGGAAAAACAAACAAAACATCATTTCCCTGATGTCCCTAAAGACACCCTTCCCTTGGTGCCGGTCCCGCCATTTCCCTCCGCTGAGGCCACTGGCTTGGTCCTCTGGGATCGACCTTAGGAACAAGTGCATCGCTACTAGTAACACGTGCCTTGCTACTAGGAACAATGTTTGCTAGTAGAAACAAGTGCCACGCTAGTAGTAACAGGTGCCAAGGATGCTGTAGTAGGAGGCCAGGAGCCCCTAGTAGCTTCTTGTTACTAGTAGTCATGGCCTCCACCCCAATAGAGATGGCCTCCACCTGGTAGCTTCTATTTGATCCTCAGGTCTAGAGTTCCAAAATCCCAATGCTTACTCTGCAGTGAAAGGAATCGTAGAGGGCAACCATCACAATACCGTGAGGGTTTCAGCACGGGATTGGACTCACGTATTGGGTTTGGACGTCCATGGCAGGCACCAGGTGGACGACTCGTCAAAGCCTGTGAAAACACAGGGAGAACATCATAGACATTTAATAGTAGTAGCTTCTTGTTACTCCTAGTAAGGCACTTGTTACTAGAAGCGATGCACTTGTTCCTAGTAGC